AGACAGCAATTTTATGTGACATATCTTCTGATAGTTGAAACCATGATTTGGGCATTTTCTCAATAGTATACCCCAATCTGCATAAGAGCACAAAGTAGAGCAATAGCATTTATTTTCACATTAAAAACTTCACTTCTAACAGCTGGATTATCTTTATATTTATCATAATAATAATACATTATCGGACAAGTTAATTGTACCATAAAATGTTAAATGACAACTGCCATATTCAACAGTACTTAGTATACTTACATTTTTGCAGGTAGAATGCCATGAATGAATAAAAAGATGGATGCGAACAATAGAACCTTTGTCAGAGCACTAATGATCGTATTTTCAGATGCAATGAAGTTGAAGTATATTGCAATCAACACTAACAATGCGGTGAAAGTTTTCTTTTTATCCTTCCAAAGCAATGTGTCAGCAACTGCAAATTAGTAGATCAATCAAAACTAACAGATAACTAAATGTAAACTGTAAAATTACTCCCAGCATGAACTGATCACTGTTATGTTGGTATATTAGGTAGAAGAGATCTGGTAGCATTGATCATGCAAATAGATAATAACCGATCAATTTATATAATCAACTTAGAAATATTAACTCCAAAATTTGAACTTACGAGTTCAATTCAATTGTTGTTTCAGCTTTTCAGGCTTCTAAAGCACATACATGCTTTATTTCAATTTTAAAAAGTAATTTAACAAGATTGAGATACGTGGATATTAGGTAGTATATGATAAGGACCTGCCATTGTGAGCATAAACAACAACTTCCTGCACTATCAGTTACTATTTTAATAGATTTATCTGATCTGGAAAATATATGGTATGTATTTTACATGTCTATCAATATGCTCCTGATCATAATCTAACCAGACTCGGGACAATCAAAGTCATGTGCTTATTCTTATATGACTATCAACATTGCAATTCTCCTTTACAATAAACGCAGACCAAAAGTAAAAACAGCAAGTCCAGATTGTCCAAACAAAGTTAGATATATATAGTTGATTATTCACACCTTTTCCACTTCCAAGATATTTGGAAGCTTTTGAGGGACCTTCTCTTTTAGTTTTAGGTTGATTTTCAGCCTTCAAGTGTGTGAATGATTCAATTGTCCTCCGCATACCCTCCTGCAAGAAAAATTACAATCTCATTATTATGGCTGAAGCACATGGGAAAGAAATAGGATTAACATATATACTAACTGCAATAGATGTAAGAGCATTGTTGCACTGAAATATCATCCATTTAAGTATAACATCTTATACTTGGTTTCATAATACATTAAGATAATCTTAACTCATTATAATCAGTGATTTTGGGGGTCTTGAGTTAACCATGTTCTCATCATGTTTTTTCTCTTTTAAAGTATGAACACAATGAATGTTCATGATAGGGCGTATAAAATATTATTACTTTTCTGAGCATAAGAGAACCTGTAGTGTTATGATGGGTGCATAGCCAAGGCGATCCTTTGCTTTTGAGCAATCAAAAGTTCTGCTGCAAGATGTCAGTCTTATTCTTGAGGGGGTTAACTGAGGCACCTTCATCCCATATGGGCCTAGCAGCTTATATATCCACTCCACCAAATGTGCAATGGGCATGATAACAAAGGTAGGGATCTTTATTCTTGGCCTGCAAACTACATCACTCAGATAACAAAGGAATGTGGCATTGATAATGCCATAATGATGTTCATGTTTGTTTATCTGAATGAAAAGACATTATATTCCTTATTTAATTTAAATATAAAAGCATGAAACAGAAAAACTTATGAATGATTGATTAATAATAAGAACTGTATATTCTAATTAACACAAACAAGTCATCATTAAGAATAAAATAGATAACAAATAATAGCCACTAGCCACAACAGCAAGACAAAAAATTCCATAATCCAACATCCCAAATTGACATTAACTTCAGCCTAATTCTGATGATAAAGCACAACTAAAATTCACATATTTCATACTAAGGAACAAAACAAAGAAAAAGGAAGTATGAATGTTTACTGAGTATACTCATATAGCACTTTTGATTATAATCTGACAATTCCAAACTGCCACCATGTTCCTTCTTTAAATAAATAGAGCACGTGTGATGCAGAGTAAATAGCAGTCTTTTTTAATTTTGCATTAGTGTTCTAAGGCTTCACCTTAGACTAATCTAATTTGGCTAATAGGTGAGTAAAGTTTGACTAAAGATTGTTTTCGTCAAAGATTGAACTCAAACACTATTTGATCAATTCGACTTTGGGTTCAACCCAGTCTAAGATAATTTGTTGTATTTAATTTTTTAAATTTTGGAAAAATTTCTGTATCTCTTGATAGCTTCGATGTTTGATCACAATTTGACTATTGGTCCATTCTAGGATTACAAATACTCCTTTTCTAAGCTTCAAATTGGTATTATTTTCGTAAATTATTAATTATTAACTATAAAAAAAAAGTTTTAAGTTTTTGCATGGAATTTATGGGTGCTTTGGATCCTTGGTTTTACATTAGGGGAGAATCAAGAATAAAAAATGAGAGGTTACATAATAAGAACAAGAATTATCTAATGGTTAACAGTATGCATGAAACTACCTTTCATATCCAAGACCTTCCACTATTGCTGCCACGAACTCCCAAAATTTAATAGGCTCCATATTTGTTATGAAATATGCCTACAAAACAAAAATATGTTAACAAGAAAATACCAAAATAATTTCTAAGTTTCCTAACTTGCAAATCAAACAGTTTTTTCCCTCCTTTAGTAGGAAAATGCAATAATTCGTTCTTAATCTAACAAACTAGGTCACTGAGAAGTCTTCCCTCAGGCATTTTTTCATGTTTTCTCATTTTCCCAAATGAAGAGACTCTACCCATATCATTATCATTTCATCAATAGTTTACTTTCCCAGGTATAAATACACCTGTGATTCTGTGAAGAACCAACAACCATTCAACAACAAAGATTCCCTATCCAAACCATTAAACATTTCATCATCTCTTCTCTGCATGTTTGCCTTTTAATTTTCATTTACTAACAGTTAACACAAACAAACAAAATATACTAAGTAATTGCAGAATCTTTCAGTTGTACCTCTCCGGAAGCTTTTTCTGAAACTGACCCTCCTGAAGCTAGAGCTCGTTCAGCACATATATGGCCATGAGCCACATTTTCAACATATGTGAAATCATAAAGGTTATTGCCATCTCCAATAATGAACTGGTCAAGAGAGAAATACAAATAAGAGGATCAAAGAAAGGTTGAAGAAAGTTTCTGCTACTAGTAAGTAGTTAAAGATGCATATTTCTTTGCAACCATTTTTGAACATATGCCTCCCAAAGTGATAAAGCAAAATGTTTTTGTTATCAGTCTCAGTCCAATTTCATTCAATTTGTGGAAAGTTTCTGATTCATCAAGATGGTCCTAAGGCTAATAAATAAATTGTTGTAGATTACATTGTCATTAGTATTCAATTAGTTATTTAAGAACTAAAAAGAACTAAATATTTACCAAGATCCCACATATGCACAACATATAACATTTAGCACAAACTGATCCAAGAGTCAACACCAGTTTACACAGCACAACACCAGTCAATGGGCTCAAAAACCCAGTCAAGATAATTGTTAACTTAAGTCATTACACTCAACCACAAGGCACAGGATGTAGAGCATAAAGCAGACCTAATAGAAGAAATGAAGCTTCCTTTAGTCATATCATATGCAATAGATGCAACAGATACATTTCATGCCTTTAGTTCCTAAATGACTCCCAAGTCCCAAGGTATAACAATGATGCCAAACAACGAAGTTACACACACACTTAGACACTAAAATCTACATCGATAGGAGGAAAAACTATATCTACCTTAGATTTCCCTTTCCTGGCAGCATCAACTAGTGAAGGCACCAACAGTTTATCACCAGGCCCAAAAATGCTGCTAGGGCGTATGCAGCATGTTCGGAGCCCATTAGTCCCATTGGCTTTAATAACCAATGCCTCACCCTGGGCTTTCGTCGCTGAATAATGATCATTAGGCTGAAAAAAACGATATCAGCATAGGACTACCCCAATCGGTCTAATAATAACAAGATTGATACATAAAGATATCAAAACATAAACATGACTGATAGAAAATATAATATCGAAAGCTGAAACTAATAAACACGCTTGAATTTGTCATTTAAGCAAAGGGAGAATTGCTGAAGTGTGTACCGAATGCGTATAAGGCATTGTTTCGTTTCCATTATAGATTCCATGCACGCCATCGAAGACCACGCTGGGAGAGCTGGTGTAAATGAGTCGCTTCACATTGAGCTCCAAACAAGCATCGATGACGTTCTTCGTCCCTGACGAAAGAAATGTCTCAGCTGGATTCAATTCAAAGAAGCAAATAACACGCGGAAGAGTGAGGTTTTACCTTGCACGTTGACGGAATGATGAAGCTGGTAGTTGTTGATGGAAGAGTTCGGAGCAGCCATGTGAAACACAACCTCAACTCCCTCCAATGCTGCACCAGTCATAAAACGACATTAGCGATAGCGAGCGATACGAAGAAGAAAGAGTAGAAGTTACCTTTTAATACTTGGGCCTTGTTGCGAAGATCGACGGAGACATATTGGGCCCGACCAGAGTGTAAGGCCTGGCCGAGAAGCCCCAACTGCTCGGCGGGCTCGAGAACAACGCTGGCTTCCAAATCAGCGATGCGAACGCCGTACTCGTTGTACCGGATTAGCATTTCCACCAAATGCCGAGCGGCGAAACCCCGACCTCCGGTCACCACGCACCACCGGTCTTCCGCTGCCATGGTCAAACGAAATGCTCACCTGATTCGAATCGCAGATTCACACTAACACACACCACAGTGTAGACGAGACAAAAGTGAAGCAGCAACTAACAACCCTTTATTTCTTTTAATATGAAAAAAAAAGGTGGCTTTATTGGGCCCGGGCCTAGTTATTGCAACGATGGGCTTGGCCCAGGCATAAAATAAATTCCATTCCCTCTAAAAAATTTGAAAAGCGCGTCATCTTGTTTGAAGTTTGCAGAGAAAGAACGCGAGAGATGATTTCCACAATGAGTTGGGAAGAGAGCGACGAATTTGAGATCCCTCTTACCCAAACGACAACGAATTTTCACGCCCTCGCTTCCATTGACAACAATCAACGTCCATCCAAGAAACCTAAACGCAAAACGACGACGCTTGATAGCATTGGGAAGGAGAATCTCCCTCCTTGCGAAATTGAGAATTGCAGCTTGGATTTCATTCCTTCCACCATAGATTGTGTTTCTCTTTGCAGCGCTCAACGTTCGGGACAAGAGGACACTGTTTCTTCTCCTTCCTCTTCCGAGTCTTTGTCGGAGCTGAAAACGAAAGGGAATTATCTCCGCAACTCGATAGAGTCGAAGCTGGTGGTTTCGAGAACCGGCGCGGTTAACTGTGCAGAAGCAGAGTCTGATTCGGAGCTTGGTCTGTTGCTGAATTTGTGCGAGGAGTTAGAGGAAGTAGATAGTTCCGTTCGGTGTCCTCTGTGTGAGGTTGATATTTCGAACTTGACTGAGGAACAGCGACATCTTCATACCAATAATTGTCTTGACGAAGGAGATGAGGTAAGATTTGCACCCTTCGTGAAACGGGGAACTTAATCGTCACAATCTAATGCTGTAAATTGTAACGTTATGCAGGTTGCACTTCTTAATGACGAGAAGGGTGCTCAACATTTGCCAAAAGTTGCTTCTGTTCTTGATTGGCTACGCGGGCTTGGTTTGGAGAAGTATGAAGACGTTTTCGTTAGGGAAGAAGTTGATTGGGACACCTTGCAGTGGCTCACGGAAGAGGTCAGCTTGTGTTTGTTACTTGAGTTCTTTTATTCCATTAGTTTTAGGTTCATAACTGTTGCCACATTTGTTGCTTGAATTTGGGGGTTTTGTTAGTTTTAGGTTCTTCATTGAAGGATTGGAAATTTTTTGTTCAGCTTTCAGCTTTAAATTAAAATGCAACTTATATTTGTTATTCTTCCCCGCTTAAAGACCAATCTTTTGGTGTCCAACTAATGGGATAAGTAATTATTTGGCAATTTGGGCTTAGAGTGTTCATGGATCTTGACTTAACAGTCTAAGCTTTTAGGAGACTTTTTAACTACTTAATGAGGTTGTTGTTGGAAATATAAGGATGTGTTTGCTTTTGGATTTTGGCATCCCAAATTAAAAAGGAGAGCTACTGGTGTAAAACACAAATGTACTACTGCTTGTATTAAGTAGTGTCCGTGTCTATTTACTTTGTTGTTAAAGATGTATGTAAGCTGATTTCCCCCCTCTTTTCCTTCTGTATCTGCAGGATCTCTTAAGCATGGGTATCACTGCACTTGGGCCGAGAAAAAAGATTGTGCATGTCCTGTGTGAACTTAGAAAAGGAAATGCCCCTACAAATGAGAAACAAGAGGATGTTTTGGCAGAGCCTAGAAGGATTAGAAACCAGAAAGTCAAATTAAAACATGACAAATCTGATAGCAAAGTTGATGGCACTAGTAAACCAGTGGCAAACAAATTAATTACTGAATATTTTCCGGGCTTTGCTTCCAAAGAAAAGAAAGTTTCTGCTTCTCCCAGAGAACAACAGGAGATGAAAAACAGTGGTTTGGATTCTGGTCGTAAGCACAAATCAAAAAATATGCCAACAAATAGAAAGCTCCGCGATGTTCCCAAATGGTGTGCCGTACAAGGAACGCCTTTCCGAGTGGTAAATAGAAGTTTAAAAGATACACGTGTATTTGATATGTGCTGATGTATATTCCCTTTATGCATTCCTGGAGGACTGTGGAATTGGAAATATCGTAGTCAGAAGGAAAGCTTTTTCTAAATGGTCTGAAAAAAACATGTTTTTTTACATTCGACTCGTGCTTTTGATGCATTCACGGAAAAAGGGTTTTTTCATGTGTGGTGCTTGGTAACTGATTTCCATATCCATTCAAGGAAATGCTTATTGGTCACTTGTAAGACAATTAAAACTGAGCATGCACATCAATCACGTTTCATGTTGACCTGCAGAACTAGGAAATAAAATTGAAGAAAAAGAACAGAAAATATGGATCTCATATTCATCCGCAACTAGCCAATACATTATGAACGTCAATATCTAAGAAACTTCTGTTATTCTATCATCATTATTGCCCTATCTTGTTTTGATGTAGGTCCGGGTGTTTGACAAATACATTTAATTTTTATGCAGGATGCTTTCAAATATCTCAGAGGAGATTGTTCCCACTGGTTTCTCTCACACTTCCACTTGGACCGTAAGTCTACTTCTATCGTAAAAAAAATTCAGTTGAGTCACCTGTTTTCATGCAACAAATGTGTTTGTGTATGCGTATTATATATATATATATATATATATATATATATATATTAATTTAGATTGATTATTGTGTTATATTCTTGATTTGTTTAAATCTGGTTGACATTTAAGTAATTTAACACAGTTGTTTTCACTCAATTTTATTTATAGTTTGGATTTGGGATGTAAGTTCTGTTATTAAGATGTGATCTATTTAGTAGGCCCACAGATTGTTAGCTCTAAGTAGATTTAACACTGATCTCTCCATCAAGTGGTGAAAATATTAAGTTTGTATAATTTTGGTATGTTTTCTCTACATAATGCTAGACTTTGGTCATACAATTTGAATATACAATTACTATATCTTAGAATTATTGTCTTTAAGTCTCAATTCAATTCCACAAAACCGATTCATAATATGAAAATTGACCAAATTTTAAAAGTTCTACTGAGTCATTTCTAGTCGATGTGAAACTAAACTGCCTATGAGTTGCATTCTAGCAGCTGCACTCTATGAAGCCTAACTCATTCTTTTTAGTTAGCCCCTTTGTGGTAGCTCTTTCTGGCGAAGGGGTGACAGCAATTAATGCGACTCTCCGACACTATGCAAATCATATGTTCACATTGGGAGATCAAACGTGTGCATCGTGACAGACATTTTGGTGAAACACCTTTTGATGCTTCCTTGATATATGGATGTGCATTAAATTTGTCATGTAAAAATGTGTATTATGTTTTCTTTCAAACTACATTTGGGTGTTTTGGTGCTTTTCCCTGTCAGGAAAACATTAGAGTTTCATATCACGTTAAAATTCATTGGAGACATTAGTTTAAACTACCAAAAAAAAAATAATGGAGTTCCTTTTGTCCAGCTCCTTGTAAGTGGATTATTACAGCCATAATCAAATTTTTCCAAGTCACGCCTTGGCTGTTGGTTTTCATTTGTGAATGCAGATTATCAAGGTCTCACTAAGTCGTTCAATCATGGAAAGATCTATTGTTCCTCCATTACAGCTAGACTTGTAAATATGAACATTGGGATTTCATATGATAAATTACATGTTTTGCCTCTGAATCAAAAGGTAGAAATAGCTGGTATTGATGTGACTTGCTTGGATGCCAACCATTGTCCAGGTTCCATAATCATACTCTTTCAACCTCCGAATGGTAAGGTGTGGCTTGGATTGACTTACTGATGAGCTTAACTATAGTTTTCTAGTTATCCATTGTTGTGTTAGAATTGACTAATGAGTTGATGTTTTCCTTCCATTTAGGCGGTGCTTCACACTGGTGATTTCCGCTTTAGTGAAGAAATGGCAGTCAATCCATTACTGCAGATGTGTCCTATCAATACTCTAATCCTTGATACAACATACTGTCACCCACAGGTGAGTCCATACGTGAATAATGGAATCCCCTCTTTAAAAATGTACAAGTTTTTACTTCGGAACTGTGCCTCCATAAATTTATTTGTGTCCAATATCAGAATAAATTAAAAAAAAAAAGAGTAGGATGTTTGTACTCCATCTACTCGAGGTTGAGTTAAAGTGAACTGATTTTCAATCAAATTGGAATCTGTCTTTAGTTTGTTAGAGGCATTGGATTCTGACAGAGCCAATCTATGATGGTTGGCTTGTCAGGACTCAGTAGCATGTGGCAGTATCTTCGTAATTCACAAAAGTCTGCTAATTTGGTGCATATTTGATTCAATTATTTTGGAGAAACATTCACTTATATTTGTAAGCTTCTTGAAAATGCTTTTGAAACAAGCGGTTATTTCCTGGAAATTATTTTTTCCCAAACATGTTTGTTTTCTGAAAAATAGTAAAAAAAAATTGGTTTTTTTTTTTCAGTTAGAGAAAGTTGCTTTCAAGAAAAAAAAAATCCAAGTTGTTTTAAAATGTTATCCAAACACACTAATGAATGTTATAGTTTAGTATGAATCTATGAGGATAAAAATCTCCATAAATATTTTTAAGAGGAAAAAATGTGAAGGAAAAATAAAATAAGTTTCTGTGTAAATTAATGTTTGCTCATACATAAATTAATTTGTAAAAATTCTCTTATATTAGCTTTTCCAAAAACTTACTTTTAAGTTATGAGTAAACTAGTTATAGGTTATAAAAACTATAATTTTTTACTATTTTCTTTTCTAGAAAGTGCTTACAAATTTATATAAATAGACTCTATGCCTAATATTACTTGTCATTTTAATAAACTACCCGCGTACCCCGTATACCTATACGCATGCCTGATTTAGACGGTCTTGGTAATTCACTGCAGAGATAGCTTAGTGCTAATTTATTCTTATCAAAAGATCAATTATGCTAGCTTATGCTTTATATTATACGTAATAATAATTTCAGCACGACCGCTTTTTCTATACAAATGGTTGTGGTGTGAATGCCTTATAACCATTCATGGTTGGAGAGAGAAAAACTAAGGTTTTAAAAGTAAATGAATAAGTGGCTAAACGCAACAAACTTTTTCCTTTTCAGAAGTCTTTTCCCCAAAAACACATTAGCACTACCATTTTTTTCATAACCTTTGCATATTGTTTATACAATTACATTTAGTTTGTTAAAATCGGTTCATATACTAGCTCCCTTTGACTCTAATAATAATTGTTTTCAATATTTGTTCTCTTTATCATTGCAGTATGACTTTCCGAAACAAGAGGCTGTAATACAATTCGTTATTGATGCCATACAAGCAGAAGCTTTTAATCCCAAGACTCTTTTTCTGATTGGCAGCTATACAATTGGTAGAGTTCAATACAACTTTCTTCCTGCATATTTATTCTATATACTTTACGAAAGTTATCTTGCCATTTATTATTTGTTTGACACATGTTGCAGTTTGGTAGTTAGTTGCCAAACAGCTGCTAAATGTAGGTTTGGGTAGATTTGTGTTTCTGTGGTAGTACTTCCCGACTACTTGGAAACTAACGAGGAAAAACTGAAAAGATGTTCAATGTCTCTTTTCCTCCCTTTTTTCCTATGTTTTTATAGGTAAAGAAAGGCTATTCTTGGAGGTTGCCCGTTCCCTTCGTAAAAAGGTTCACGTGACTGCGGCTAAGTTGCGTCTTTTAAAATGTTTGGAATTTAATGAGGAGGATATGCAGTGGTTTACTTCTAATGAACATGAAAGCAACATTCATGTTGCCCCTATGTGGACGCTCGCAAGCTTTAAAAGATTGAAGCACATATCAAGTCAATATAACGTGAGTGCTTCGGCTTGTTTTTTCTTGTACACAACATGCTAGCTTTGTTGTATTTTTCAATGTAGCAAGGAGCATATCTTGATGTACGCACACAGATCTACATTTTTCTTTTAACTTTTTAGTTCTACATTTCTAACATCAGATGCCTTTTCTTCAATTAGGGTCGGTACAATCTTATAGTTGCTTTCTCCCCCACTGGGTGGACGTTTGGCAAAGGTAAAAAGAAGTCTCCTGGAAGAAGATGGCAGCAGGGTACAATTATTAGGTGATGCTTTAATTTCCTCAATTACTGTCTGTTTTATTTTATTACATCTGGTTGAAATCTTGAATCATATATACCTGGAATTGATCCCAAAATCACTCAAGGTCTCCTTTTTCTTTCTACTCCTGGCCAATAAAGCTTGATTTACCAAAGTCTTGGCCTCATAAGTACTTTGAGTTATATTCGCTGGACTATTTATTAGGCGTGCAATGATAGTTGGAAGATCAGACTCATTTCCCATAAACTGTATAACCATTACCTAATCCAACTTTTCCTTGTTTATCAGATATGAAGTGCCCTACAGTGAGCATAGCAGCTTTACAGAACTCAAAGAGTTGGTAAAACTTGTATCTCCTGATAACATTATACCAAGTGTGAATAATGATGGACCACAATCTTCTGACGCAATGATTTCTCTATTGTTATCTTAATTTGTTCACTAAATGGGGTTTAGTCTACCATTGTGATTTGTGACGTGTACTGTATGATGAATCTTGAATAAAAGTCTAATGAATTTTGCCATACCTTTTTGAAAGGGAGATTTCCCTTTGTTTCTGTTGATATATTTATGAACAAGGAATTTGATAGATAAAATTTCTTACTACAGTGATCTTTAGTCAGATGCTTGTGTTATACTAACAGAAGTAACTTAACGTGCCAGATCACTTTTTTAGAGGTAGACTTGAGTTTGCCACGTTGCCAAAGGATCATGTGAAAAGATTGCAAATTAACAATACTCAAGTAGAAATGCCGTTCATACTTATATCCGGTAGTGTCGAGGTTTATGACTTTATGTCAACTGTGATCTAAATCTGAAGTGATTACTATTTGCTAGCTAAAACTATGCAACATGGTTTCGGACATGAAACTGGAACATAATACGGACACGATGATCCAGAAAGAAAAAAAAAAAAAGACATGAAGAAACAAAAAAATAAAATAAAAAAAATATATATATATATATAAGATAATATAATATAAATAATATGACAAAAAATTATATATTAATGTGACAATAACTTATTAATTCTAAAAAATAAATTACCAAGAGACATAGTACATAACAAAAATTTTCTTTGTTTTTTTTTAAAATCTTGAATCCTCCCTTCCTTGTTTATATTTTAATTAAAACTTTTTTTTATTATATAAAGGTTAAATAATGAGAAATAAGAATGATTATCTTCTTTGTTTATGTTTTTATCAAGAATTTTTTTTTTCAGAAAAAAAATCTCAAATCCTTCCTTCTTGGTTTCTATTTTTATCGAGATTTATTTATTTAAAAAACTCAAATTCTTCATTCTTTATTTATTTTTATCAATATTTATTTATTTGTTTTTAAAAAGTGTCGAATCTATGTATTAAACAACTGGGTCATGCATGTTTAGAAGAAGACATGTTTATTTGTAGGTGCTTGCAATAAAGACATGTTAATTTTGTAGGTGTTCACGACGGAGATGTATATGATTTCTCTAAAAAAGCGTTTGAGACGTATCTATAGTGTGTCCACTTTAAAAGAGTGTCAAATTTATGGATACAACAGTCATGTGCAAGTAGGTTAAGACAAACTAAGTAGTAAATTTTATGCAATTAACTATCTTTTTTTTCCCTAAAATAAAACGAGTGCATACATGTTATTAGTCATGAGTATTATTATACACCTTCCATCCTCACTTATATTTAAGGAGTTTTTCAAACAAAAAAAATTATATATTAAAAGTTTTTTACATAACTAATTAGAAATTATGTATCTTAAATTTGTTGTATTCTATAGTAAACATTTAATGATAATGTAAAACTGGTTTGCATGGTTACTAAATCATAATATGCATGACTTTTAATAGATTTTTTTTAAATCAATAAATTTATTATTACACGGACATTTTTTTTTTAATTGTATGACAGTATAAAATTTATTTATACCATTAAAGCATGAACTTATTTTTTTAATAATTACTTAAAAAAATCATACTTAATATGTTTCTAAACCATATAAGTTTATTTAAGTTTAGATGCATTTTTGTCTATAAATATAACTAATATGTAACTTTTTTTATTAAAAAAATTAGCTTGGTAGAACAATATGGGTAGATTGTTGTAGTTTTTTTACACCAAATTTGATTTTAATGGATAAAAAATATATACAATTTTGTTCAATACTTTTTTTATCCTAATCATTTTACTTTAATTTTTAAACTAAACATATTAAGTTGTTTCACCAATCTCTTTTTGATGAGTGCATCTTTTATCGGTGGTTTTAACCGAAAAGATAGACTCATTCCTTTTATTTAATAACTGGTGACATGAAATCAACGACTTTCATGCATAACAAGATACTTTATTAAATAAAGAATTTTGATAGATGCACTCATGAATTTCAAACATATTAACCGGGTATTAAAAGAGTTTACATAACTCACGTATCCTACTCAACTAAATGATTAACTAAACCTCTTGATAATCTATTTTTTCTTAATAGTCAGATATAAGAAAGAAAGAAAATATCCTACCGCTTAATTTAAATTAAAAAGAAGAGTTTAGACATATTATTTTTGTGACACTCTTCTACTCCAAATAAATGGATAATTATAAAAACATTTATTATGCCAAACAAAGAAAATTATGATAAGACTCTTTTCATCAATATTTTGTAAAAGAATTCAGAAAAATATATTAAATGAAGTAAACATTAAAATATTGTTTGAATAAAAGTAAGGCACATCAACCTAATTTTAATAAAGTTTCTAATGATAAAATATAGAAAAAAGAACATGATAATTGTAATATCTACTTACGTCCCAATGTTACACTATTGGAGCAAAATCCTTCTTTATGTCTCTCCTTCATCATACATATTTTCTTGTACTTATTCTAATTTACAAGTGACGTTTAGCTCAAACACAAATATGCAATTATGGGAGTTAGAATACAACTCATTTATAAACAATATATATAAGACATAAAGGTAGACACACACATTAATAACATTATTGATGTCTCACACATATAAACATCATTCCATACATCTACAAATACCATCTTCATTATTTGTAACCAACAAGCCACACACACAATATATATATATATATATCAATTATAAACAATACTTGTGCAATGAATGCTCCTAACTTTGTATGCTTGTGGTACCAATCTTCTCATCATCATCAAGAATACACATAACTTAGAAGTAATGGAATGAGATCACCCCATCGAATAGTGTAGGGATCACCTATTAATAGTGATCCTCCCAAACTATCTCAACCAAGGGATGTCTATCAGGGTGTTGTTGAAGTGTTATAGTTGGCCATGGTAGCCTCCCATTCTCGATAGAGGTTTCCCCACCATAACACTCCCAGAGCACAGGTAGATGACCTATGATATCACACCTGCATAGACTCACACTATCCCATGAAATAAAGTATGAATGCATGAGCTCAATACACTTAATACAACAACATAATATGCATACCCAACTCCTCGAGTGTCAGTTTGTAACATTTAACTCATTCATCATATCTCATCATCAATGTTCTTACAATATACAATAATTCAATTCCTTATTTGCCAGTCCACAACATTGGACTTAACTATCATTTCTCATCACATTACTTATAGTAACTCAACACATCACGCATCAATATAATTCTCATACATCAATTCCATCTCATTTGCAAATCACCATTCCTATACATTTTTAATCATTCATTCGATACATATTATAACATCCATCATTATCATAACATCTCAATTGTAACATCATCGTCATCAAATCTCAAACAACATCATCATCAAACATCATAATATTATACATTATCTTTACTGATATAACATATATGAACTTAAAGAATAAAATAACTCAAAAATTATCTATTTTATCTTAAGCTTCTATGAAGTTGTGTGGTCTAAACGTGTTATCCAGAGAAGGGCATAAGGTATCAAGTTAATCTTAATTTTAATAGAAATCTAATATAATTATCTAAAATTTCTATATTTACATCAAGAATTGATTTTACCATCTATGATTTTTAAAAATTATAAAACTACATTATTTTAGCTTAATTTTGATAGTTTGACCTTTACTCACCAATTTGATCATAACTTGAGTTCTAGACCTCATTTTTGGATAATTCTTATGACATTCAAAAGCTAACATATAAGAATATAACTCTTATGAATATCACGAAATCTAATTTGGTCATATAAGGGTCCTTGCAATGCTTAAAAGCTTTAGACATTATATTTCGCACACAAAACATGAGATTTATCTTGAGACTCACATAACTCAGTCATTTCTTAACATTTTTATGTGATTCTTGAGTCTAAGCTATAGTTCCAAATGTCTAGTTTCTAATCCAATAAATAAATCTCTATTTGGTTAATAATGTGGAGAGAAATCACCTAAATAATGAGATATGCTCATACCATAATTTTCATAATTAAACAAAGTACACAAAAATTCTAAAATCATACATAAACCCTAACCCCCAATATATACATACACATCCTTTTACTTCAATTCATCATCCAATTGGTCAATTAATTAATGCACACTTAAAATAATAACAATATAATATCAAATCATACAACTCATTTAATCATATCAAAATCCTCGAGTTCATACACAATATGCCTTATTATACAAATACACCAATGTATACCAACAATTCAATCCAACATTAATTAGCACTCGAATTCATATAATATAAAGGAATTCAATGACTAATTTGTTCATAAGAAATCACATATATTAATTTCAACAACTTACGGGGCTTAGGGATAACCTCTCTACTCTTATCTTCATATATGCCAAAGGAATCGACAATCTCACTCTCCCTTATCTAGAGTGACGATCCTGTGAAACAACCCACTTCCTGTAGTTTCAACGGCTAATTTGTGCCTCTTCCAGTGGTCTCCTTTAGGTTTTTCTCCTATGAGTGCTTTAGGTTTTTGAAATGCGTAATGACCTAACCCCTTCCCTGTTTCTTTATTTTAATTAGCCTTCAGATTGGACCTAGAGTTTAGTCTATAGTCTTCTAATTTATCTTTCCTCTTTTATTTTAAAAAAAAATATTTCTCTTATCTTATTAGAACTATTCTAAATTATTTATTATTTATCTCTTGCAAACGCTTTAGATTTTATAAATGTGTAATGACCTAACCCCTTCCTTCTTTCTTCTTTTTAATTAGTCTCCGAGTTGAACCCAAAGTCTAGCCTAAAATCTTATAATTTGTCTCTCCCCTTTCATTTTAAATTATATATTTTCTTATATTATTCTAAATTATTTATTATTATATAAAAAACAGGATGTTACAATTTCAATTTAACATGTAATATTGAATTATATATATATATATATATATGTGTGTGTAAAACTACATAAAATATTTTTAAAAAAAAATTGTCATTTACCGTTAACTTTTGGGTTGGAAAAAAATTACTTTCTATAATTATTGTTATCCTTGTATTGGACAAACAAATGAGAAAAATGAAGGATAACATGAGACAAACCGTGGGTCACACGAGA